CGAGGTTCACATCGAACCGGCAATTGTCTGGGTCGATCAATTGCTCCGCAGGGCACAGAAAGTGAATGCGTCCCTGCTGGGACTTCATCTGAGTTTCTCCGGCGAAACTGGCGTCCGGAGCTGTCAAGACACCTACATGAAGTCTAGGTTGCCAGAATGTCGGTACGTGATCTTCAGGTCCTTGGTGTCCAAGGCCATCTTGAGTACCTTGTTGGCATCGGTGAGCGTGGAAACCTTCGCTCCCTTGATGCTGCTCTGCAAGCGGAACACCCGATAAAGTATGTCTGGCCGGGCTTGACGCGAGATCCACGACAGTGAACCTACCACAGAGCGCGGCTGTCGCTCTTCTCCCGTGGTCACTTGCTCCGACTGCTTTCGACTCTTGGCAATGTCGATGTACGTCGTTTTGGCTGTGTTGTCAGTGTCATCGATCAGCACATCCTTGCCGTCAAGGCTGAATTGTTTCCCGCAGAAACGGAGCCTTCCTATTTCTCGCTTCCCTACCTCGAAGCGGTTAAGAAGCTTGTCCAGAACTACCTGTCCTGATTCGGTACAGGCCCACAGGAAATCATCCACGTGAGTAGTCAAGACGAGATCCGCTCGGCCATTACTCTCGCGGTAGTAAAAGGCAGGGAAGATGCGGCTTGCCTTTAAGCCTACATCCAATGCGTCGTGGTTCACCTTCTTCCAGAATCCATGGCCGGAGTCACAGAGTCCGTAAACGGGTACCCTGATCAGCAAGTGTGCTTCCGGGTCTACCCCTGGAAGTCCACCGCTAGGCTGCCGCGTGACGACTATGCGATCTATAGGTAACGCTTGGAAGTACGCGTTCCTTATGTCCGAACTCTGAGGTGGAACACCTTCAGCTACGGCAAAAGCGGCAACTATGCTGTGCGTTTCCAGATCTGACGTGGGCGCGTCAGTCCTAACACCAGTGGCACATCCAACGAGCCTGGATTTGAGTTCCGGTTCAAAATCCGGCTTATGTTGTTCATGTATATTCTTGATAGTGTCTACCCACTTCATAGGTAGGGCTACATGACCCTTTGTAGCAAGTCAAAAAGATCTTGCCCCTTGATGGGTATTGCTGCCTGGAAAACCTCATACTTCTTCCACTCTTTTGCGCGGCTCGCATCTATTTTCCTACGGATAAATGGAGATGCCGTGTGATAATTGAGGATCCCGGGAAGGTGCTTGTACTCTTCCCGTTGTTGATGCTCAACCTGTTCTTTGGTTAGAACACGGTTGGCCATGAACGCCTTGAAAGCTGTCCATGTCTGGCATTGCTTCTTTGTCATGGCGCCTGAAAGGTCACCAAACTGAGCTGCGCGAGCATCAGCTAGCTGACTACGTATCTGATCTGGCAGATCATCTGTAATGTCGTAGGAACTTACTCTACGACTTGGCGGTCGCTCGGCCTCTGGCTCGACACAGCTTCTCGCGCCTCGGACGTACACTACG